GCGCGAATATGTATCCTGAAATTGTTATATTTTTATCCACTTTTTCTTAATAATAATGACTTGCATTATTAACAGTTTTAAAAATATTGTTCTGCATTCAGTTTTTCTTATAAAAATAATAAAAAAATGTGTATTTTTTTTTATTTCCGCCGTTTTCAAAATATTCAAAATTTAGGGATAATTTATCAAGAAAATCTGCAGAAATACTCTTTTCCAAAAATTCTTGATTTTTTATTACGTTACCTTTAATCCCAACTACTTAATCCGAATATCCACTGTGGAAACTTTTAATCTTAGTCCTTAATCCACTCTTTTTATCTCTCTTTGGATATCTGTACATTATGTTCTCCAATGAGAGTGCAGAAATATAGTTTGTACATTGGCTTGACCAATGACAACCTTGAAAATAAATTCTATTCCATGAGAAAAATCCGCAATTTTTAACAAATAAAGAATATGTTGTCGGCCATTTTGTAAATTAATCGGTGAAGAAAAATATTTAATAACAGGTTTGAGACTCTTTTGTAACCAATTTTAACTAATTAATAAATAAATGGGTGAGATTTTAAGTCAAGAAAACGAACCAATCTGGCATTCTTAGAATCCAATTTGTTGATCTAAATATTTAATCTCAAGACTAGCATTATCTCGAGATTGGCAAAAAAAGAGGGTTAAGCATTAATCCTGATGGTCAGTTTTTAAGCTTGACAACTTCATCCATTGTTTCTACACTAAAAATGTGTAAGAAAAACCGCAATTGAAAAAAATGGATTTATTATTCATTCCTGGGTAGACTAGGATTAATTAAGAGTACATACAGTTGTGAATCCGACAAGCATGACACTATAAATGGAGAGTCACTTGAATTTAAGTCTACAGTCCTTTTAATGTTATTTAAAAATCACCTTGCATTTAGAATCCTCGCATGGGTCGTTTTTCTTCCAACAGGTTCCACACTGACAGTAGGTCCCCTCTCCATACACTCCCTCACTACATTTTCCTATAGCACTGAAGTTACCAGCAGGTTGATCCCAGGCACATTCACCTCCCTCCGACTAAATATAAATATGTTAGCAGGGTCTGATAGCACTGAAGTTACCAGCAGGCTGACCCCAGGCACATTCACCTCCCATCAACTAAATATAAATATGTTAGCAGGTTCTGATAGCACTGAAGTTACCAGCAGGCTGATCCCAGGCACATTCACCTCCCATCAACTAAATATAAATATGTTAGCAGGTTCTAATAGCACTGAAGTTACCAGCAGGCTGATCCCAGGCACATTCACCTCCCTCCAACTAAATATAAATATGTTAGCAGGTTCTGATAGCACTGAAGCTACCAGCAGGCTGATCCCAGGTAAATTCACCTCCCTCCAACTAAATATAAATATGTTAGCAGGTTCTAATAGCACTGAAGTTACCAGCAGGCTGTTCCCAGGCACATTTACCTCCCTCCAACTAAATATAAATATGTTAGCAGGTTCTAATAGCACTGAAGTTACCAGCAGGCTGATCCCAGGCACATTCACCTCCACATGTGTGCATGTTTTTCAATAAAATGTGGACCTGGTATCTACTATATTAACTCTATGAGGTATGGTCCATTATCATCACCAAAGTTTAAATCCATTTGACTTAATATATGATTTCATAAGTTACTTGTAAAACTATTTGTTTTGTAACAACATGAAATACACTCAAGTAGTGCTTTAATGTAAAAATCCTACACCACTGTTTTCTGGTTCTCACTATATGTTGACTATGTATCCCAACAAAAAAGCTTTAAAGAGAAACAGAGAGTGAACAGACAGTGCAAACCCCCCCCCTCACTCCTCCTTCCCTTCCCTTCCGCAATAAATATTTCTAGTTACGAGGAGGGCTGGGCATGTTTCTACTTTTTTGGAAATAGTTCGTTCCATTCCATTGCCTTCCTTTCTTTTTGTTCCCGTGAAGGAACGATCATTCCCCTGGAACGATATCTAACAATTAGGGCTTTGTGTGATCCTACTTTTTTTAAATAGTTCGTTCCGTTGGTTCCCAAGAAAGAATGATCGTTCCCAGGAACAAAACCCAGCCCTAGTTACAATCCTGTATTTTTGTAATGGATTCATGTATTAAATTTATAGAAAATATTACCCTACAAGTGTATCCACAATCATCACCCTTGGTAGACACAACACTGAGAGCTAGAAAAAAATATTTAAGTTTTAATAAAGCAGTAGCCAATTATATTAATACATTAAAGATGACTTTCGATTTCAATTTTAATTTTATCAAGCTGTTAAACATGCATGGATACACATCTATACATATACTTGCTTGTCTGTTTGTCTATTTGAACTGATCCAGATGAAATTGTTTGTGAGACCACACATGATTACATTTCAAGGAAGGTGCATGGATGCCCATAATCACACGAAGAATATATATTGTATAAAACTGTAAAAGTGTAATGAATGTTTCTCTGATATTATTTACTAAATTAACATAAAGAATGTATTATTTACTAAATTAACATAAAGAATGTATGTATATTGTATAATACTGTAAAAGTGTAATGAATGTTTCTCTGATATTATTTACTAAATTAACATAAAGAATGTATATTGTATATACTGTAAAAGTGTAATGAATGTTACTCTGATATTATTTACTAAACATGAATAATGTATGAATGCATACTGTAAACTGTACATCCTGTAAAAATTCAATGAAAATTTCTCTGAAACTAGGATGCTTATTAAAATGCAGACTTCACTTAAAAGATTGTACTTCGAAAAAAAACATTTTTCTGAAATTTGATAAATTTACAGATCTAGCATGTTATTAAAATCAAATCTTTATAGCACCAGTCCTAAAGTTTTCTATGATGTAACTTTTTTTTATTTGAGTAATTGTCTTTATAATTTTTTGACAAAACGTTAAAATAAAAAACTCCTTTAAAGGGAATTGAGCCTTTGCCACAAACTCTTATTTTCTTATCCTTATATCTTAGCAACCCTATTTTAAATTGTGAATTCTGTTAGATCAAATTATCTTCAAAGTTTGAAATATCAAATGTCAGTTTGCAAAGAAATAGGGATTTGTGGTAAAGACTCAATTCTTTAAAAAAGATATAAGCAAAAAACTTTTTTTGAAATGATAAAAAGAAAAGAGTAATTTATACGCAAAACAACATGTTTTGAGAAAAAACTGAAAAATTGACATCTTTTTAAGATTTTCTATTTCATTAATTACAAAATAAGTTTTGACTTTTAGACAATTTTCTTTTGATAATATTACTTCTGATATTTGCTACAGTATAACTTTATCTGGTGCACAAAGGATTTGATATTTCCGATTAAATAGTTTTACCCTTACTTCATATTCGTTATATTTTAAAGGGACTGTAAGCGTAATTTTAAGTAACCCTCCCTGCAAAGATTCACAACGGTACCCTTAATACTTTGCAACTGATCAGGTATGAATTATAGATATTATTATTGTTTATAGTTTTGAAAGCTGATTATTTTCAATTATTAGTTCTATACAAAAGTGATTTACGCATTTCTACTGCAAGAAAATAATTATGAATTATCAGACTTAACACTTTTAAACCTAGAAAAACGACAATATCACAATATTGATCAGAAAAAGGTTTCAAGGGTACCACTAATTAATATTGTCTCAAAACTTTTTTTTTCAGACCAAAAAATTGGTCGAAAAAAACTTTTACGATTGTTAACAAAAGGTTGTTTTTTTTCAAAACGATCTTTTTGTTTTTAGCTATTAACTATTTCTAATTTGAAATGTTCCTTTCAAAACTTTAAAATCTACATACAGGTCATTTTTTTTTAAAGTCAGCCAAAAATAATCAATTATGGAAGTGAACCTCTCAGATTTTTGAGAAAAAACTGTTAGAAGAAACATTTAAGAGAAAATACAATTTTACCAAATTCAGAGGTTTCTGTGATCTTTGGTTTATGAGTTGTGAGCCTCTAAAGTTTCAACCTCCAGACTGTCATCGGAAACTCCAAAGCTGTGTAACTTTTTTGATTTTAAAGATAACACCATAAATTTAACGGCATATTTAAATAAGTCCATAAACATATTTAATAAGTCCATAAATGAAAATTTTAATTTTGCCAATATTACACCGGATATTATTTTAGATTTAAAATCTGGTGATGGTGATGGACCAAACCTCTGTAGAGTAAATAAAGTAGATGTTAGTTCCACATTTTATTGAAAATATATTTCGGTCTGGGTTGACCTTGTCAGTTCTAACGATATAATAACTATCAAAATCGATAATAAAAAAAATTAGCAATCACAAGAAAATAAACAAACAAAAAAGATTATTAAAAAAAATTGGGCTGTCAAATGGACTAAAAGGGAAACGAACGCAGATCATAAGATGGATATTAATTTTTTACAGAATGTTTTAAGACAATTATTATTACTTGAGATTGTTTTTGTCATGAAGATTAAAAACAAACTGTTTATAATGTATAAAGTGGTGGTGGGATGATCTAATTAGCAAACTTTTATGTAATTACATCTTGTTTAAGGAGGGCTGTTTAATCCTCTTAAAGAATTAGACATAAACAATACTCTGTTTAAATAAATACTGAATTACAGTTTACAATTAAATAAAATGATTTTATGAGTTCAGTCTTAAATCTCTGATGTATTTATATTCTCGTACTTTAAGTAAACTTCTCCTAAGGTCCCAAACCCTTTCTAGTGCGCTAACTTTAAGATTGTAGAGTTCATGTCCAGTGGTAGTGGGAAATTGAAAAAAAATTTGTTTTTTATTTCAAACTACCCTCACTACCACCGACTTGTTGAAACTTTTTTATCAACATTTATTCAAGAATTTTTTTTCAATTCCCCACTACCCTCACTACCTCCGACTTTTTAAAATCTATATATCAACATTTTTCAAGAATTTGTTTTTTGTTTCAAACTACCCTCACTACCACCGACTTGTTGAAACTTTTTTTTCAACATTTATTCAAGAATTTTTTTTCAATTCCCCACTACCCTCACTACCTCAGACTTTTTAAAATCTATATATCAACATTTTTT